GCAAGGATTCTGGGGCTTTGTCTGACATACTTTGGACATGTTGCCAGGAGGGACGGGTCCTTGGAGAGGGACATCATGCTTGGGAGGGTGGAGGGACTGCGCAGGAGGGAAAGACCCTCTATGAGATGGATTGATTCGCTGAGTGGGGTAATAGGAGTGGATGTTTCAGAGGCAGTGCGGTTGGCGCAGGATAGAGCAAGGTTTAAGGCTGATGTGCATAGGGTCGCTATGAGTTGGAAACTACTCGACGTTACATAACAACAACAACAGTAATATATTAAAAACTTTATGTTAATTCTTGAGGGAAGTGATAATGAAGATAATGAGGATACCTGTATGTGTGCACACATGCAAGTGCACACCCATAAATGAAAATATTTGGAAAGTAAATATTTGTGAATAGCTAGGATTTGGTTATTTTTTTGGTTTACACTTTTTTCTTTAGGAATGTGTTTGCTTTACTTTTGTCCATTTCCAAGAGCAAAATAATCACAAATCCCCTATATTAAAAAAGATAATTATGAAGACTTGTATGTTGGAGTGGGCCATATAGGCAATAAATTATCACAATACGATGAGCTAAATACAAGCTCAGAAGTTTCAACAAAACTTTAATAAATTATGTAAAGAATAATTTAATAAATTATGTAAAAGAATGCTGCTCAAAGCAGAATCTTTACTTGCTTCTGTTATTTACCTCCAGTTCTTAGAAAATAGCTGGTAGAAAGTAAATTTTAAACAGAAATGTGATTATGAAATTAATTATTCCTAAACATTTAAGTTCTTTTCCAGTAAGTAGATGTGGAAATTTTTTAAAAAGTTCACAATTTCATATCTATTCTTTCAATTCTTTCTGACTCATATCATCAGAATCATCCCAAAGAATTTATTTCTGAGATACCACACTGAGTAGTTATTTACCTAATGTTAAGTAATCTTGTTTTTAAGTTTCTCAGGGTGTATTGCAAATATGCCAAAAAGAAAGTGTTTCAAACATCACTCATCAAGAGGAATTTGGAAACCTGACAGTGAGCAATGAATCAAGAAGAAATAGAGGTATTAATGGGCAGAGATCACTATGTTTACAAGAATAACAGGTCAAACATGCCTCTTTCCGCCTTTGATTTACATCAGGTTTAATCCTATAGACTTTTCCAAACTCTACTGTACAGAAAAGAAAAAAATTAAAAACATCAACTTAACCAATAACGATTATATTTGTATCTACTTTGTACCCAATTCATGACAGATATACTTTTAACTTCATTTTGTATTAGGGATTAGAGATGTAGACAAGAACATAATAAATAGCCTTTGCCCAAATAAAGTTTAAAATAAAATTCCTATGTTTATGGAAAATTAATCAGAATTATAAGGAAGTATATAAATAACTATTTTAGTTGTCTCTTATTATTTCCTGAAACATAAAATGGGAAAAAATGTCATTTACCAATGGCTTTAAAGTTAAAGCTCAGAATTTCCTATCATACAGAATTGAAAAAAAACCAAGACCTAAAAACATTTCACTCATTACATAGCTTAATTTTAAAATACTTAACACTATTCTTTCAACCCTGTCTAAAGAGCTGCAAATGGGATGTAAGGGCCTAAGCATCTCTCTGAAAGGGGCAGAGAGAGTGAAAATACCCCAGCCCCTCACCGCCTCAGAGCAGAAAACAGATAAAAAGGCTGTAGCTCATCTCCATAGTGTTTCTACAGCCAAACCAGTCATAAGAGGTTCATTCATTCGTTGTTGACTCTTAGTTGTGGTACTGAGAATGGGGTTTATTAGGGGAGTAAGTTGGAGAGTGGAGGAGGCAAAGAATATCATCCAATGCAAATCCAGGTTTTAGCTCAACAGTCCCAAGGCAAAAATTCTCAATTAGTCTAGGCTCTGGTTTCAGTTCAGCAATCAAATCCAAATCATCCAGCAAGGTTAACCTCAGAGGAGTTATAAGTCGTCTTCTCCTTCAAGCATTTGGCAAGATCAGCAAAATCTTTAACTGGAAGCACAAATGCAAGAAGTTTCCGGTCACATTTTGGCATAGTTTCTTCCTCAGGGTCTTGCCACCAGGGTCTTGTCACCAGCTTTTCACTCTCAACAGGGTCTTGCTCCAAGCTCTCTTTAGCATTTATTTAGTTTCATGATATGAAATGAATATCCACAAAGACTTGTTTTATAATTACTTATTGTATTATCATTTTCCAGTTCACTGATTTGTATTACTGCCTTTACCACATACAGAAATGTGATATACTGTATTGCTTACTTATCGATACTTTCTTATTTTGGATCACAGGCTTATTACATGCATAAATCACAAGGTAGATAGATATATATTGTAGCTTTATTAAATAACAGGACTTTTCTTCCCTCCATTGTCTAATTCCTTATAGGTTTATGCTCATCAGAATGGCTAAAATATAAAAAAAATGCTACTGGTTCTCTAATGAATTGAAAAGTTGGAATGACAGTTATGCATACTGCTTAAGCAGAAAATCTCACCTACTAATAATACAAGGCCAACTTGAAATGGTATGTGGTTTAGTATTCTGATAAGGCTTTTTGTAGTTAAAAAAATTTTCCCCAAATTTCTCCTAATCCTTGTTTAAATGATCACTTATCTTGATTTTAAAGTTACGACCCCTTTAAATTTTATACTATATATTAGACTTGATTCTGAATATTATATTCATCTTGCAAGTTTGCATGTGTGTATGTGTCTATATACATTTAAATTTATAATTATTTTGTTTCTGAATACGATAATACGATATGAACAGATTAATATAAGAATTCCAGAGAAGAATGCTAGTTTTCATTAAAATTCTACCATCTTGATGTATTTAAATTATTAAAATATACTAAAATATATTTATATGTATTTGAATTATTAAAATATACTTATATGTATTTGAGCTATTAAAATATATTACTAGTTTAATTATTCACTCCTTTTAAGGCTTTTATACAAAAGAATATGAAACAGTCAAATTATGTGTGGATTGGACTTAATTTTACCTCTCTGACGAAGACATGGACCTGGGTTGATGGTTCTCCATTAGATACAAAACCGTGAGTCCTAAAGGCAATCAGATCAGATTATCTACACTTTATAGTATTTCACTTCTTAAAACATCTTTACCTTCACCACATTCAAACCTAAAATAATTTTAAACATAATTAAAAGTAATTAAATGTTAATTGGTTCAATGAAAGAATCTTTGAATGATACAAAGAGTGAATTAATTAATTTGAGCACTTAACTGAAAAGTTGGAGGTTCAAAGTTATCAGGTGGCACTTTGAAAGAAATGCCTGGTGATCTATTTCAGAAAAAGTAACCGTTGGAAACCCAAAGGAGCAGAGTTCTGTTCTGATACACATGCAACTGCCATGTGTTGCTTGGCAGCAACTGAAGAAACTTCAATAAATGGCGCATCTTGTTTTGATTTTTAAGGAAGAAAGTATTTGAAAGAATAGTAATATTTTCATTATTGAAATTTTATTCACACTTAAAATGGGAACTTGGACTTGATAAATGTAGTATTTTATTTTTTAAATTACCAATGTTTACTTTATCTGTCATTATTTATTGAAAAAGTTGTTGTGGTTGTATGTCAGGGAGTCAGAACAGACTCATAGCTTACCCTCCAGAGGCAGTAAATCCCATGGGAGGAGACTGCACAACTTTCTCCAGAGATGTCAATGGATTCAAATTGCCAGGGAGTCTCAGTTTTTGGATTAGCAGTGCAAACTCCCTACAGATTATACCGCTAGAGTACTCACTTAGATACTCCAGGATAATATCCCTACCTCAAGATCCTTAGGTTACTTGTAGTTGTTATACATCTCATAGCTGGAATCCACTCAACTGACCCTTCAGCAGGTTTTCAGAGACAGTAAATGACACAGGAGGAGGTTGTCTATCTTTCTTTGCTCAGAGAAGCTAGCTGGTGGATTCAAAGAGTGAGTTCTGGATTTTGCACTTAAGCCACCAGAGCACCTTGTTCTATGTGCTACTTAAATTAATGACATGTTCTGAAAAAGATGGGCACTCTCCTCCAGTGTGATTTAAGGTTTCAGAAAACCAGGCAAGAGTCAGCTATGAATATCTTCAGACTCCATGACAATGAGCTGCTTAATTTCATTGCAAGGGCTCTTCCTTATAAGATCAGGGCAGAAGAGGAAGCCCAAAGAAATACTCTTCTGCAAAGGGAGAATTAGAAATCAAAATGTATACAAGAAAAGCCATTTCCTCTAGAAGCTGGAAAATGAAAGGGAAAGCATCCTTGCTTACTATCTTTAGAAGAAACGTGGTTCTCTGTATCTTGATTACAGCCTTATAAGACTCATTTTTATTGGGGGGGAGGTTGGAGAGAAAACGGGAAAAGAGTGGATAGATAATGAACACTGCATTAGAACAGATGAGAGGAAGAACTGTGTGAAAGGAATATATGATTCTACATTATATGTATGAGAACAATCTGGAACAAGAGGTGCATTGTGGGGTAGGTTGGAGGAGGGAAAGGAGAGTGGAAAATGTGCAACAGTGAATAAATAAATGAGACTCATTTTGATTCTCATTTAACTCTCAGATGATAAATCTATGGGGGTTTTAGGCACTAGGTTGTAGTTTATTACAGCAGTAACAGGAAATGAATACATTAGGATGGGCAATCTACTCCCCTGCCATTAACTGTCTCTGAAAACAACCAGAGGGTCACCAGTGGGTTGGTTCTGACTCTCTGGTACACAACAACAACAACAACAACAACAACAACAACAACATTATTTTATCATGTTTGGGAGGGTGGAGGGACAGTGCAGGAGAGGAAGGCCCTCTAATAGGTGGATTGATTCAGTGATTGGGATAATTGGGATGGGAGTGTCAGAGACAGTGCGATTGATTGGCACAGGACAGAGCGGAATTTAGGGCTGTTGTACATAGAGTCGCTATGAGTCGCAGGCGACTCGACGGCACCTAACAACAACAACAACAACAACCCATTATGTTTATTTTGATACTTAGGATTGCTTACTGTCTACTGTGATAAGAAATCGAAGTTGACTCAAGATCTCATTGCTGTTGTTAGGTGTTATTGCATTGCCTGCACGACCCTATGTACAACAAACAGCTTTGAAGCCTGCCCTGTCCTGAGCTAATCTCATCGACTCCTACACAGCCACTCCCATTACCCTAGTTATTGTGTTGATCCATCTCATCTAGGTGCTTCCTCTTCTTAGCTGTTCTTACACCTTTCCAAGCATGATGTCCCTCTCCAAGGACCAGTATCTCTTGACCATGTGCCCAAAGTATGTGAAACAGAGTTTCAAAATCCTAGCTCAAACGAGAAACTTGGTTTCACCCTCTCCAAGATAGACATGTTTGTTCTCTTTGTGGTTCATGGTATGTTGTTGGAATCCAAGTTGACTCAAGATCTTATTGTTGTTGTTACTATGTTTTGTTGACTTGTGACTCATAACTCACCTGTGTATAACAGTTGCTTGTGACTCATAGCTCACATATGTATAACAGCCCTGAACCCTGCTCTATCTTAATCCAACTTCATTGTCTCTGACACACCTACGCCCATTAACTGGGTCAATCCATCTCATCTGGAGTCTTCCTTTCTTTTTTCTTTTCTTTTATTTTTATTATTTTGGATCAAATTGGATCTGACTGGTACAGGAGGAGATTGTCCCTCCTTCTCCAGCAGAGCATCTAGTGGATTTGAACCACGTACCTCTGGAAATGCAGTGCAGCTTCTTGCCGCTAGGCCACCTGAGGTCCCTTAGGGTCTTCCTTTCTTGCATTCTCCCTCCACTCTCCCAAGCATAAAGTCCTTCTCCAAGGACTGATCACTTCTTCCAGCATGCCCACAGTATTTCAGAAAGATCTTCAAAATCCTTGCCTGTAAGGAGCACCCTGGCTTTACCCTCTCCAGGACAAATCTATTTGTTCTCTTAGCAGTCCAAAATATATTCAATAATCTTCTCCAGCATCACAATTCAAAGATATCAATTCTTCTTCTATCATCCTTCATCATTGTCCAGCTGTCTGATGCATAACATGTAATTATGAAGACAATGGTCTGGATCGGGTGCACCTTAGTCTCCACACTGACGTCATTGCTTTTCAATACTCTGACAAGGTCTCTGGCAGCAGATTTTCCCAATGCAATTTATCTTTCTGCTTACTGGATGCTGGTAACGAGAGTGTTGATTGTGGAACAAAGCAAGCAGAAACTGTTAATAGTCTCAATCTAGATAATATGAAGGCCATACAGTTAGCAAGGTAGAATTGTGTGACTGAACATTACAAGTTGAAGTTACAATTTTTTTTTCCTCATCTCAACACTAGTTTTAACATTATAATCTAGGCTACTTCTAACAATACACTCAATACAAAATGAACATATAATTTAAGTGGTAAAATATTCTTTAGTATGAAAATTCAGCACTTACTTGCCTTTTAGCAATTTTGAAATTTTTAATACCATGTGTTCTTCTTTCATGTTCCTTTCTTGACATTTTACAGAATTTAAAGTAACTCACAGAATAAATTACCAACACTTCAGCATTTCATAAATTACTTTATTATTTTATTTAACTTATTTTATAGTTTAAATATTAAAATTATATCTTTAGAGTTTACATTGGTCAGTTTGTGTGTGCAATTCTTAAAGTCAGTTCACTTAATATTCTTTTTTCAATATAATGGACAGTGTTATTCTAAATAACACAAATGGGCATCATTAACTTCAATGATCAATACATCTTTCCTCTCTTCTACAGATTTTTCATAAAAGGACCAGCTAAAGAAAACAGCTGTGCTGCCACCAAAGAAAAGAACATTTACTCAGAGTCCTGTAATAGCATTTTCAAATGGATTTGCCAATATTAGGATTTTTTAAAAGTATTGTGGAGTAATCAACAAAATGTTTTGATTATTAAATTCTAAATATTTATCTTTCAAGAGTAAGACTTTAAAATGTAAATTATATACCAATTTCTCTTCTGCTATTGTCTTTATCTTGATCTTAGCGTAAGAAGAGCCCTTAATAATAGCAATATTCTAATTAGTTACTTCTCATATATTTGATCGAATGTGAGTCCATGTTTTTACCTATAATTTTTTATGTTAATTTACAACAGATATGATGAAATAATATATTTTTTTAGTCTCTTGTGTGTTTTTTAAAATCCTTAGATCTTGTAAAAACTTCTTATTATTTTAAAGGTTGTATAATATCATGGACTTAAATAGTTTTCATCCTTTATTAATGAACATTTGTATTCAGATTATGCTAACATAAATTGTGTATAGAAGACATCCTCAATACATTTTCGAAATAGTAGAACCATCAATTTAAATTGAGCATATTTTTCTTGCAAATCCATTTTCTTTCTGTATAGCATGTCGCTGCTGCCACACCATCATCACCGAGATAAGCACATCCTCTTTTACTCCCTTCCACAGGAAACCTGTAACAAAAGATTTAACATTGTATACTAGGATGTAATGTGATATCTAACTTTGTCAAAAAACATCCTTTTACAAAATTCTATCTGGCAGGGAGCAAAATGTGCAACAATGAATGAATGGAGATCCAAGTTCTCTATAAACGTCATTAAAATCTCAAATTTAAAAATTCTCTCTGTCCCTAGCTATATATAATATAGATATGTTGCTTCTTTTGGGATATCCTAAGGGTCTTTTTTTTTTTCTTTCTCCCAGTTTTTGTGTTTGTTACAGTGACATTAAGTTAATTGCAATTGATCAGTGAAGTGATGAGTTCATAAAAACGAACATTTCTTATCCCCAGGAAACTTAACAGTAAAGTACTTTTCAGCACTGAAAAAAAGAATATTTTCCAAATACTGTATACCATAGATATGTCCAGAAGACATTATACTAAATGAAACGTCAGTCACAAAAGAACAAACATAAAACCACTGATATGAAAAGCTAAGGAAAGGTCATCCAGAATAATTCTTGGATAACTAGTTATCATGGATGAAAAAGTATAGAGATGGGAGTAAAACTTAGTAAATAGATAATAGACATTTTAAGCTAGGTGAAGGGGAAAGCAATATCCAAGAAGAGGACAACCAGCATAATGTCATTACAGAAAAGAAAGACAAAGAGAGATAAAGAATTAGTAATGAAAATCACAATAGAATTACAGGGAGGAGACGAGGAAAGTATGATTGCTTTGTGGGTAATGAAATTACTAGAATAGAACAATAAGTGTAAGAATAGTTGAATGAGGAACTAACTTATTTGAAACCATCACTCAAATCACAGCGACACTGTTGTTGTTGTTATGTGCTGTGGAGTCATTTGCGACTCATAGCGACCCTATGTACAACAGCCCTAAACCGTGCTCTATCCTGTGCCAATCGCATTGCCTCTGACACACCCATCCCGATTACCCCAGTCACTGAATCAATCCACATCATAGAGGGTCTTCCCTTCCTGCGCTGTCCCTCTACTCTAACCAGCATGATGTCCCTCTCTAAAGACCTGTCTCTCCTTACAACATGTCCAAAGTATGTCAGACAAAGCCCCAGAATCCTTGCCTCCAAGGAGCAGCCTAGTTTAACCCTCTCTAGGATGAATCTGTTTGTTTTCTTAGCAGTCCATGGTACTAACAATTAAAAAAGAAATCTACATCTACAGGCAGTCATTTGGAAGCAGGATTGACATCCACTTCCTAAACAATATGCCTTTGGAAACTCAATGAACATTAGAGAAACAACAAAAAATTACTGAACAGGGTTCAGAACTTTTGTTCAGAGGGTCGCTATGAGTTGTACTCGACTTGATGGCACTTAACAACAGCAAAGAGGCAGTCAAAATAAATAATTAGATAAACAAATAAATAAATCAATAGATAAATAAATAATAAATAAATAAATAGTTTACACTTTAAAAAAATAAAATAACACAGAATTAGTACTTCTCTTACCCTGAATACTTTTATTAACACAATTAAAAGATCTTATAAAATACGAGTGAGCAAATTGTTTCATGTGCTACAGTGTAAATATCATATTTTGTTATAATGTTGTTGTTGTTGTGTTATTGAGTTGCCTGTGACTCAGAGCGAACCTATATACAATAGCCCTAAACCCTGCTCTATTCTGTGCCAATCTTATTGTCTCTGACACATCTACCCTCATTACCCCAGTCACTGAATCAATCCATCTCATCCAGCGTCTTCCTCTCCTGCACTGTCCCTTCACCCTCCCAAGCACAATGTCCCTCTCCAAGGACTGGTCCCGACTTGCAACATGTCCGAGTTACATCAGATGAAGTTTCAGAATCCTTGTCTCCAAAGAGCATCCTGACTTCACTCTCTCCAGGACAAACTTGTTTATTTTCCTAGCCATCCATATTATATTCAATACTCTTCTCCAGCACCACAGCTCAAAGGCATCAATTCTCCTTCCAACATCCCTAGTTATTGTCCACGTTTCTGATGCATAGCAAGTAATTTCAAAGACCATAGCCTGTATCAGGCACACCTTAGTCTCCAGACTGACATCGTTGCTCTTCAGTACTTTGGAGAGATCTCTGACAGCAGACCTTCCCAATGAAATTTGCCTTTTAATTTCCTGGATACTGGTACCAATCTGTTGATTGTAGAGCCAAGCAAACTGAAGCTGTTAACAATCTCAGTCTCTTCACCATCTATCATGATGCTGCCTATTTGCCCAATGGTGAGAATCTTTCTTTTCTTGATACTGAACTTCAATCCATATTGAAGGCTGCAGTCCTTGACTGTCTGCAGCAAAGCTTCAGGCCCTCTTCACTTGCAGCAAGCAAAGTTGTTTCATCTACGTAACACAGATTATTGATGAGTCTACCTCCAATCCTGATGCCACATTTCTCCTCATCAAGCGCAGCTTCCCAGATAATCTGTTCCACATATAGATTGAAAAGATATGGAAATAGGACACATCTTCTGTGCACACCCTTCCCAATTTTGAACCATGCAGTGTTTCCTTGCTATGCTCTAACAGCTGTTTCTTGTCCAAGTATAGGCACAATCAAGTGTTCTGGGATTCCCATTCTTCTCAGAGTTAGCCACAGTTCGTGGTGATCCACACAGTCAAATGCCTTTGCATAGTCAATGAAACACAGATAGATATTCCTCTGGTACTCTCTGATTTCAGCCAAGATTCATCTGACATTAATAATAATAATAAAAGATACACAAGAGAAAAAAAGTGAAGATGGCAAAGCTTCATCTCTCATACTTTGAGCATGTTGCTAGAAGCAGCTATCATCCCTTGGAAAGGAAAAACAAACCTGCTTAAAAAGATGGAGGATCAACTAAAAAGAGGAAGACTCCAATAAGATGGATTGACACAGTGACAATAGCAATAGGCTCAAATGTTTCAAAGATGATGAGGATGGCACAGGATAAGACAGTGCCCAGTTCTGTTGTTCATAGAGTAGCTATGAATTGTGCTTAAAGATGGCACCTAACAACAACAATGAAATTACAACACAAACTCTTGAGGAAAATTCTTTTGTGACTCTCTTCTCCTTTCCCTTCTATGATTCTACTGGAATAAATTAAGACTGTATAAATTATTGTTTTAGAAATTGGGAAGGGAGAAAAAGGGATTAATGAAGGATTTGAATTGCCAATGAGGCACCGCCTTTAGATTAGCAGCGTAACTCTCTACAGACTAGGCCATACATACCACGACTTTCTATATGTGAATGATGCCATTTGAATAGGTAAAATATTAAAGATGAAGCTAGAAAAATAGATATAGATTTGGGGAAGAAAGAAATAAAGCAAAATTTTAATATTATTGTGCACTGAGTATATGAACTGCATATATTTATTTTCAAAATCTTCAGAAGATTTTCCTCCTTCATCATATGATGATTTTAACCTCTGGTGGTACCGTGGCTACAACAGTTGGCTTCTAACTTAAAGGTTTCCTTTACAAACCTTTCAACTGTTTTATGACAGAAAGAGGTGGCAGTTTGGTACTATGAAGATTATGTTGTTGTTGTTGTTGTTATTTGCCGGCGAGTCGCTTGTGACTCATAGCGACCCTATGTACCACAGCCCTAAACTCTGCTCTGTCCTGTGCCAATTGCACTGTCTCTAACACTCCCATCCCAATTATGCCAGTCACTGAATCAATCCACCTCATAGAGGGCCTTCGTCTCCTGCGCTGTCCCTCCACCTTCCCAAGCATGATGTCCTTCTCTAAGGACTGGTCTCTCCTCACAACATGTCCAAAGTATGTTAGGTGGAGCCTCAGAAATCTTGCCTCCAAGGAGCCACCCGGTTTAACCCTTTCCATGACAAATCTGTTTGTTTTCCTAGCAGTCCATGGTATTCTCAATACTCTTCTCTAGCACCACAGCTCAAAGGCATCAATTCTCCTTCTATCCTCCTTGGTCATTGTCCAACTCTCTGATGCATGACAAGTGATTGCAAAGACCATGGCCTGTATCAGACACACCTTAGTCTCCAGAGAGACACCAGGAAGATTATACCCTTGGAAATTCTCTGAGGTGATTTTCTGGGATTTTGTTTTTGAGGGGTTTAAGTTAATCCTTGATTAATATCAATAAATAGCACAGTATTTGTTTACTCCATCTTTCCAACATGTACTCTAATACTGAACAGTTGAAATAATCATCTAATTCATAAGCTCTAGAAAATTTTAGCATTATCTGGATTTTCACAGAAAGAAGATACTCACCAGTTGTTAAATATAGTTCCATTTACCCATTTTCCAGTTTGATCTTTTTTCATTGTCAGTCCAATCCAGTAATCAGAATTGCATTTGTAGTGCCTCAAAAAGCCCTTGAACAAAATAAATTTCACAATTTTACCTGTCAGTGTTTCATACAACCCAGTGAGTGCCTGCAGTTCACAGGTTCTAAGAAGCTGTTGTTCATATGTGTCTTCAAGTTAGATCTGACACATAGCTGACCTTTTTAGTGGTTTTTCAGAACTTGTAAATTGCATAGGAAGAGAGAGCCCATCTTTCTACAGCAGAACAGCTGGTGGATTTGAATTACCTGCCTTTGAATTGTTTGGTAATCAAATTGGTTGGTGATCTTTATTCACTAGCCCACAAATGTTCCACAATTGATTCTACTGGGAAATAAGTGACTGTATGTTTGTTTAAACTTTTAATCAAATAAAAACAAACAGTGGCTTTGACATAAAAACTTTCTAGTAGTGCACTGTTGCATTACAGGCAGGAAGTGCACTAATATAGATTTTACTAGAAACTCAGTGTAAGACCAAGAGGATGTCTTCCAAGAAAATAAAATGAAGAGTCCTCTGAGACAATTATCTTTTCATGAAATACTGCCTTTTAAAGAGTTTCCAAGTTGCAAAAATTTCTTGCTTTTGTACTCCTTGAAATGTAAGGACAGTGATCAAATCCATCAATTCATTCAACCCTCACGCACTCCAAACCAAATATTCCTAAAATTTTCCACTATCTTCTATGGTATTTTCTGAGCAACTCCAATATATTACATACATAATTAGATATATTTTAAAAGTCTGAAAAACTGTAATGACATTTGAATATTTCCATTCTTCTAGCAGAAGATTTCCTAAATTAAATTAATTGATATAGCGCTGTATATTAGTTACCATCTCTTCTTTCATGTCAATTGAAGTTAGAGTAGAATTGAGAGTAGAACAGTAGTTGTTACTTGAATTCCATTCTTTCTCTTCTTTAGAGAAATAATAGCATCTGTTTTGATAAGTAACCCAGTAATCTGGACAAGAATACTGGGAGCTCTTTCGATCTTGAGATTTACATTCTGAAAATGAGATAAATATATATTTTAAAGACTAGAAAAGTTAATAATCAGCACAGCAATTTTCCAACTCAAAATCTTAGTATAAGTATGGTGAGTTAAAATGACAAAATTCAGAAAATCATGATTTAAAACAATTACAGGATTAATAAAATGAATAAAAGAATTGACGTATTTTTTTTTAAATCCTACAAATGATCAGAGAGGCCATTAGGAAGATGGAAGAATTTTTTAAAAAAAAACAGTAGAGATAAATATTAAAACTAAAGGGTATAAAAAGAGTTTTCTTCGAAAACTACCACTTAAAATATATGACAAAAGAAGAGTAGTAAATGTTGCACTATTAATAGAAAAGTTGGTGATTCAGAAACCAGTAGCTCAAATGGAGTACATGTTCAGTGTTCTCCCTTAAAAATTTTCCTCCTCCAAAACCCAATGAAAAGTTTCTGATGGTTTGTTTTAAGAGTAAAGAAATTAAGTCTTTAATTAAAAAGTTCACCATGGAGAAATCTACAGTCCAACATGCTTTATTTGTGAGTGATTAATGGGAAAAAAATAACAAAAAGATTATACAAACTTTTTCCAAAATATAGAAAAAGAGGGACTAATTCTCAACTCAATTTTAAAGGCCATCATAATCATGATACTGATCCTTGACAATAGAATTACAAGAAAGGGAGATTATTGCTTAAGTCTCATGTACATTTATTTGTACATAATCTTAAAATATTCTTTGTTTTATTAACCTTATTTAACTTCATTTTACTAAAGTACCAAATACACACACACACACACACACACACACACACACACACTAATTCAACATATTAACAACATAAAATATACCAATTGTGAGAGTATGCCAATAGGTCAAAATAAATTTTGTTAATGAATTTTCAGGATAAAATCCCTAAACAATCTTGAAATTAATGTAAATTCCCTCACATTGACTAAAATTGTTCATACATAATATGACATGATGGAGAAATTTTGAAAAACTTTCTCACCGAAGTTGGGAAAGAGACTAGGAAGAGTCATCTATCACCCCATTTTGATTAACCTTATACTCGTAGTCTTAGCCAAGGAAATAAGACAAAAGCAACGAAAACATTTTAAAAAGCAGAAAGATTAAAAATAATTTTCTGTAGATAATTTGATCGTTTCCATAAAGCATTCAGAAGAGCATAGAGACAGGACAGGGTAAAGAGGAAGAGCCAGATGAGATGGATTGGTACAATAACTACGGTTTGAAATTAGGTGTATCAGAGACAGTGAGGTTGGCTCAGAATAATTCAAGGATCAGAACTATTATACATAAGGTTGCTATGAATCATAGTTGATTCAAAAACACAAAACAATGATAACAGTTGTAATAAATATTACAAGCTTGTTAGATACAAGGAATGAATATATACTAACAGTTTTTCTTCATGCCAATAACATCAAGAAAATGCAATTAATAAAATTATACCACTCATCATTGTACTATAAAGGATCAAATATTTATACATAAGGATTTAAGAACATGTGTATGACACTTGTATAAAAACTATTAAAATAGGATGAGAAAAATCATAGACAAAAATAAATATTACAAATGGATAACTCAATCTTGTTAAGAAAATAATTCTCTCAGAATAAATTATAGATTTATTATCATTTCAGTCAAAATTAGCCTAAAATTTAGATGGTAATATAAAGGATCTAGGATCAATCAAAACTTGAAAACACAAAATTTTACCTCATAATACCAGGTATTGAGATTTATTACATATCTACTTTATTAAGACAATCTGATATTAACACGGATAAGTAAAATAGAACTATTAGTGACTACAGAAGAAAATATATTTATTAGCATAGCTTATTTATTACTAAAATCCAACTGCATTCATGTAGAGTAAGTATGCTCTTTCTAATAAATTGCTTTGGATAAAATCTTCTAGCAATAATAAAAAATAGACTTTAGCTCTGAATATGAAAGATAGAAAAGATAATACAAATTATCCCAGGACATCTTTATATCTTTGCAGTATAGTAAACAAATTTTTTTGAGACTTAAATGGCCTTTCCTTAATTGAAATTTATAGAGGGCTTGGATTTCCACTCATTTCATTGTTGCACATTTTCTTCCCTGCTCTCCCCTCCAGTTAGTTTTTCTCTTTGAAAAAAACAAAAAAACAAACAAAAACCAGCAACATTTTTTTCATGGTTAAATTTCTCACCCCCGCCCCAGTCCACTCTACTACTAAGCAGCTCTTACTCTAGACTGTTATCATACAAATAATACCCAATCATATATTTCTTTTAAGCAGTTCTTTCCCTCAGTTCTTTCCATGCAGCATATTGTTACTAATTGCTCCGTGCCCCTTAAAATTCTTAGATCACAGGATAAAACAAATGACCAACTTAATGGTGAACCAGCTGCTGTTACAGCCATATTCCCCCCTGGCTACTGATCCCAGTCTGATTCAGTATAGCCTCTGAGCCCCAGATCTTTGCCCCTGATCATCAGGAAGTACCTTGAAGGAAGATATGTCACCCTTTTTTATCACTAAAGAGGCTGGGATGTTAGGTCCGGACAGGTATGCTGAGGGGGAGAATGAAGAATTCAAATGCCAAAAACAACATGAGCAGATACATGTAGGGTGCATGCACACTCAGATGTTCATGTGAGTGGAAAGGGAGAAGCACACACTAATACACGCAGGGAGGAGTATGGGGGAACCTAAATAATGAAGGAGGTATGTGGCTGGAGTAGACAGCTGCATGAGAGTTTCTCTTATTTAAACCTTCATATGTAAGAATTACCTAAGTCTTGGGTGCTGAGTGAAACAAAGAGTTGTGGAACCTGTCATTTGAGAGGTATAGGAAACTCACTCAGTGAGAGGTGCATGTTTGACCTGAGACAGGTGGAGAGGTGATGCCAACGGGGGTTACCTATGACCTTAACCACTGTTGGGATAGTTAAGATTACTGTATAGATACATCCTAGCATGATTAGAGAGGTTTGGGCACACACTGCTTGATAAGAATGGCATCTCCTGGAGTGACTTCAGTGGTTTGGTCTAGACTTTCAGACAAGGGTTTGGGTATGCAATAGTCTGCATATTCCCAGAGTAATTGTCTGAGGAGGGAGAGATATGGAAGGTACAATGCTAAAAGAGGGGGTTCAGTGGGTAAGTTATAGTTCATCAGAAATGGTCGTACATTAGTTTGAAAGGAAGGACGATGAGCAAGGTGTTGCTCAGATATGGATTAAGGCAATAGGAAGTAAGTCAACCCAAGATCTGTGTAAGTTGATAGTCAGTTTAGTAAGATAGGAATTAAAGAGAGTCTGTTCATGTACTCTATTTTTCCAGAAGACTGAGGACAATATGGTCTGTGCAGCTTTCAGCAGATACCTAAACTAGAGGATACCTGCTGGGTGACTCTGGAAATGAAGCTAGGAACATTGTCTGATTGTATAGAAGTAGGGAAGCCAAACCTGGGGATGATATGCTAGAGTAGAGCCTCAGTGACCTCATTTGCTATTTCTTGCCAGGTGGATAATGCTTCAAGCCATCCAGAAAAGGTATCTACTATAGTTATATATCTATATAGTTATATTTCATGTGTGTCATCATGTGTGTGAAGTCAATCTGCCAATCCTGTCCAGGCATGTGGCCTCAGAGTTGATGTGTTGGGGGTATGGGCTGAATGTTTCCCTGAGTATTTACTAGTTTACAAGTAAGACATCTGTCTTGCACTGATTCAATAGTCCAGGTCAAAGAAGGGGAATGAAACAAAGGTCGGACGAATTTTCAAAAAACTTTGGCTCCTATATGTAAGATTGATTCACCTGTGTTGCAATATCTGCTTCTTGTTCTTGAGACAAAGCTGCTTTGCCATTTACCATGATCCATCCACTGGGAATCAGGCAGACTCCATTCTGGAGGAAAGACTGCTTTTCTTCCATAGGGTATCTTAGATGGATATCTGGAATGGTGAAAACCAGTAAGGGTGCCACTTGTGGTGGTGGTGGTTGCAAGTCTATAGATTTTGCTATATAGTCTGCTTTGTTGTTTTCCTTGGTGATGAGGGGAGAATGTGGCTGATGCCCTTTGCAGTGAATTATAGTGACATGCCTGGCAGTTAAAGAGCTTTTTTAACAAGAATAATCAGCTTACTATTAACTATAGGTGAACCTTGAACGTGTCAGATAGCAGCATGGCAATGAGTGATTAAAAAGTTATATTTAGAATCAGTGTCAATGTTGACAGTCAGGCCTCTAGCTAGATGTATGGCTCTCGTTGGGACAATAAGCTTGGCTTCTTGTGAGTCTATGCCCTTGGGAAGTTTTGCTACTTCCCACACCTTGCTTATGGAGACTATAGCATAGGCTGCCTGACTGTAACCTTCAGAGGTCATACAAGAGCTGCCATCTACAAAGAGAGTATGGCCTGGATTTGGAATGGGTTGGTCAGATAGAGAGGGAAGTAAAGAGCCCATATCTTCAAGAACTTCAGGAAAACTATGGACAAAAAAGATTAAGGTGTTTACTGGTAATAGAGTGGCTGGATTGAGGGATGGTGATTGGGGCAGGCCAATATTGGGGTTTTCAAGGAGTTTTTAATATCTGCCCAGGAGGAAGTAAAGATAGCAAACGATGTGAGAGTAGATCTCAAAGTCTATGGCTTGGGAAGATCTGCAGGGGTCTTCTCAAGATAAGTTTAAGTGCTTCTTTAGTGAGAAGAGCTGTAGCTCCTAAGGCTCATAAGCAAGGTTGCCGCCCCTGTGTCATGATATTGGGCTGCTTAGATAGGTATGCAATAGGGGAAAGGTGGATCCAAGGAGCTGAGCTAAAACTCTGACAGCAATACCTTGTTTTTCATCAGGGGAAGGATTTAGAGGAATCCAGTAAATAAGGGGTGGGGACTGTAAAAGGAGGTATTGGAGTGTGAGAAATGCCCCTCTAACTATTTAGAGTGAATCTAGGGGACTTTGTGGGGTAGTTTTGCTGCATCATAAAGGGACTTTGCAAGTAAAGAAAAATTGGGAATCAAGTGTCTAAGAAAACCAATAAAGCCAATAAAGGAGAGGATTTGATCAGTGGTTTGAGGTGGCTTGAGGCTTTCAATGGCTCTATGCCAATTGACTTCTGGTGGTGGGAGTTAACTGGAGGCCAAGATATGCAATTGTGGGAGAGACAGTTGGGCCTCAGAGGGGGATACCCTGTATCTGTTGGAGGCCAGTAAATTGAGAAGTTAAGCAGTGTGAGTTTGTGAAAGCTGGTATGATGGACTACATAATAAGAGGCAATTGTCATATTGCAGGAGAACACTAGAGGGTAAGGGGTAGTCTAGAAGATCTTTGGCCAATGCTTGTCTAAAGAGATGAGGTAAAATGTGGAAACCATGTGGGAGCATGGTCCAGGCTAGCTGTAATGTAGTGTTTGTGTCAGAGACTTCCCAAGTAAATGCAAAATTATTATAGCAGTTGGAATATAACAGAATATTGAGGAAGACATCATTAAGGTCCAGAACAGCGAAATGGGTAGTGGATGAAGGCATATTTGATAATAAGATATAGGAATTTGGAACAACTGGGTTGATAAGAACAACTGCTGCATTAACTAGCTGTAAATCTTGGACTAGATGGAAGGATTTATCAGTTTTTTTTTTAACTGGCAGGATTGGGGTGTTACATGGAGAGTTTATGAGGATAAGGAGCTTACTAGAAAGCAAGTGGGTAATTATAGATTTTATGCCTCTGCAGTGTTGTGCAGAGATAAGGAGTTGGAGGTCTAACGGGAAAAGAGGAGGTGTCCTTCAGAGTGATGAGAACAGGTTGGTGGTAAGAGGCTCCAGATGGGGTGGAAGTATCTCATACAACAGGGTTGACCACATCAGATGGTGAAGGTAATATAGGGCAGGGCTCAGAAGGTAGGAACAATAAGAAGCATAGAACTAGAAGCTGGTCAGGTGAACTAGGTTCTCTTGACTCCTAGTGAAACACAGGCCCAAGTTTAGACAGGAGGTCCCTACCTAACAATGGAGTTGGCCATGTAGGGATAATTAGAAAAAAATGGGTGAGTACTCATTTTTTTTGTGAGTGATGAGGAGAGGTTGAGTGGTAAGAGGCTTGGAAGGGAGGCTGTCAATCCCCATTACTTAAACCTGGGAAGAAAAAATCTGAGAAGGAAGGGAATGCTGAAAACGTAGGCCCCATGTCAACCAGGAAGGAAACTGGTTTACCCACTACCTGAAGGATTAACCTTGGCTCAGCAAGGATGATGTGGGTCGTCAACTCTGGGCAACTTCAGTCTTCAGTAGTTAGGCCCGGAAGTTCAGTCGGGATAGGGACTGGGTCTGGTAGAGGGGCTATCCTACCATGGTTAGATGCTGAAGAGCAGTCAAGCTTCCAATGACCCATTGTCCCATAGATGGAGCAAGGCTGTGTTGGAAAGCAAGCGTTATGGCAACAGCTAGCCCAATGGCCCTCTTTGCCATATTTGAAGCATGAACCAGGAGGTAACTGGCTTTTTGAAAGAGCAGGTGTTTTCTGATCTTTCATTGCTGCTGGCCATAAGGCAGCAAGCAAAACCTGGGTTTGCAAATTTGCTTTCTGTAGGACACAAGTCTCCCTATCAGCTTCTGCCTATTCCTTTCAGGCATTGCAAACCTTAAAAGCTATATTTACCAGGTCTTGTATGGGTGTTTGGGGGCCATCCTCAGACTTTTTAAGTTTATTCTTGATATCAAAAGTTGAATGAGTGATAAAATGAGTAGCTAGGACTGTGGCTCCTGCTGGAGAGGTAGGATCTAAGCAAGTATACTGTGTCAGGTATTCGGTGAGACAATTAAGGAAAATGGCTGGGTGCTCATCTCTAGTTTGGGTAATTTCCCTGAGTTTGTCAAAATTGACAGCCTTAGGGGAAATGACTTGTAGGCCAGTCAATAGGCACTGAATCATATGATCACCATGGGCTTGACTGTCTCTTCCTGCTGCTGTATTAATTTGATATGTCAAATTTGGCTCTTTCCAGGAGACAGCTTGGGGGCCAAATTGCATGGTGCTAGCTGTTAAATGCACTTGTTCTGCATGCTGCTAGGTGGAAGTGAGAATACACTCTTTTTATCTGGTGTCAGAGTAGAGGATAGATAGTACAACAAAAAGGTCACACCAGATGAGACCATAGGTCTGAGTCAGGTATCTAAACTCTTTAATATTTTTTAAGGACTTTATTTGAACGTACGGCTCATTCGTGGGGGCTCTCAGCACGCCGTCCTCTGTCTCACCGGGCGACTGCAGGTCCCAGGCGTCCTGATTGGACAGGGACCTCGTCCTCGGCTCCTGGAGACCTGGCCCACGAGGCCACTAACTCTCCATCCCACGCTGCTGCTGCTCCGGCTCCAGGTTGCTCTGCAGGACGTGCTGCTGGTTGGCCATGACGCAGCGGATGCCATTGACGAAGCTGCTCTGGTCGTGGGGGATGAGGCCGATGAAGATATTCTTCTCCGAGGAGTAGAGGAGCATGAGCACGGGCACCTCACTCGCGCACTTTGCCTTGGAGGAGAAGTGCACGCAGCCGGCAAAGCCGTTGTCCATGACCCGGCACAGGCTCTTGAGCATCTCCACGTCCTTGGTGAAGTGGAACTGCACCAGCCGTGAGCTCCGGAACAGTGGCACCAGCGTGGTCAGCAACTGCTGCAGTATGAGCTGCATGAAAAGCCTCCTGGGCCACTGCTCGGTCCTCAGGATCTCGCCCTGGTTCATGTAGATGTGGGATGGCAGCCACCTCTTGGAGCGGATGTTGGGCTCAGGCCTGAGCTCCTGCCACTCCAGGACCCCGCTCCATGCCAGGAATTTATTGCTGACCATCTGCAGGGGCCCTGCATTGACACCTCGGGGGCCCACTGCTTGCAGGTGGTGATGACCTGCCGGATGTCATTGATGAAGCCGCTCTGGTCATAGGGGATGAGGCCCATGAAGATCTTCTTGGACGAATAGAGGAGCATGAGGATGCGCACCTCACAGGGGGAGATGTGGGAGAACAGCATGCAGCCGGCAAAGCCGTTATGAGGTTATGGGGTCTTTTGAAAATGATCCTAAATGGTTTGTTTGGGTTGGGTTTTTTTGTTTTTTGTTTTTTGTTGTTGTTGTTTTTTTCAATTTGGGAAAGGTCTGTTAGAGAGAAAAGTGTATGGATGAGAATTGGGCTCTCAGCCCCTGCCACTTCCCAAAGAGGATAGAGGAGGGACTCAGTCCGATGGGACTGGGTGTAGATAAGGACTAGAGGAAGGGTGACAGAGTCTGGATTGGTCAGAGTAGAAGGAGGCAGAACAAGTAGAGAACAAAGGGATTATGCCTGGCAACAGGTGATGTAAGAGGTGGGGTAGAAATGGCCAACTCTGGATTAGTTAGAGTAGAAACGGGTGGAGCAATTAGAGAACAAAGGGATTCAGCTTGGCAGGAATCCATGGCAGGTTCCATAGAGGACACTGGGTAGGGGAGAGGAGAGGATTGTGACAGAAATTTCACAGGATCTGTAAAGATAGAATCTTGCAGAGAGGAGGGAAATGAACCTTGTGAATGAGCAACGGGAGGAGAGGATTTGGTATCTGAAAATTTAACTGGCAAGGGGGTTTGTGCTAAAAGGACCTACATAGGCTGGCAGGCCTTGCCGAGGGAGGGATGGGAGCACAAGCAGAAGATGAAAGCTTGGATATATGGCATCTCTGACCACCACTGAGATTTCTTGCAAAAATTGTCAAGGTCTCAAAGGATGTTGAAATCAAAAGTCCAATTCTCAGACCATTGAGAGTCATTAACTAGTTGATATTTCGACCATGCATGATTACAGAAAAAGATCAGTCTCTTGGGGTGGAGATCTTTAGGCAGACTTAAGTTTGAAAGATTTGAGAGAAGGCAGACCAAGACATTTGGCTACTCATAGTGCTCAGATTTGTGAGTGAGGCGATCAAAATTTCAGGGTGTCCCCTGGAAACCAACAGTCTCAGATATAGAGAGAGGCTGAAGACAGGCAGACAACCCCGGACATGATCATAGCCTGGAAAGAAATGTCTGACGCTTCGTGGGTAAACTCTTTATGCAGATCTACGAATTTTGGATATGCACAAATAAGAGTTCAGGGAGGACAGATATGGATTCCCATGGGAGTTCAAAATGTCTGGACTTGAAGATTGAGATACCTGGAATGGAGGCTAGAATGCCTGGAAGTTTTTATAAACAACAGGATCTGGCTTTAGGAGCCTCATGGTGGGGGTGGGGCGTGAGCAAGGCCACTCACTCTTCTTATTGGCATTTGAATTCTTCATTCTTCTCCTCAGCCCCCTCTGTTCGAACCTAACAGTTCCCTTGACAGTTCGGAAGTAGTATTAGACTGTACTTTGGTATCTTAGAATTAGATTTTCTACTTTCAGAAAGGCTATATTCCTTTTGTTTTACCTGCCCTAAATGTGACCTTCCTCCTATGGCATCATCCTGTGGTTGGGCCTCCAGCAGTGTTCCTTTGTAAACATCCCCCCCTCCATTATTATTAGACCAGGTTGGCATTGGCTTCTCTCTCTTAAAGGGATATAGCCTTTCTAGGCACTACCATTCATATTAATGTGTGAATCTCCAGGCCAGTGACATTACCTTCTTTGCTATGATGATGTTTTAAAATAAAATTCTAAAACTTCATTTAGATAACATAAATTTTAGTTAGGTCCCAAAGTCTCTGGTGTGAACTTGGTGGCGCAGCAGTAACTTCCACTTACCGCCCCCCCCCCCATTCCTCTGGCTGCAGCAGCAGTGGCTCCTTGGTCCCTTCAATTATCAGCTGAGTGGCAGCATCACACCCTGAATGTACCTCCAGCAATGCCACCTCCCTCCCGCTGCCTCCCTCCCTGCCAGTGCTGACACTCCAAGGGACTACTTTGCCCTATGTGTTGCCACTCCCTCTCCCACTGCCCGGTGTGTGACTTCCCCCCCCCACCTCCCAGTTGCCTCTGAGCTCCTCTCAATGCCTTTGAGGGACCAGGGAGTATAGTAAATCTCTTAATAGCTTTGGAAAGCTGCAACCATTGGGGGACAGGAATGGCAATACTTACTATCTACACATTTCAAAGACTTTGTCATTGTTAGTTGCTGACAAGTCAGACACAGTGACTGCAGCAATGGCTCAAACATGTCAGCAATGATGAAGACAGCACCTAACAACAAGTTTGTCACACTGGTGATCTTTCAAAAGCAGATCTTTAAAAAGTATATACCAAGCAAGGCAAATGAATTTGAACTGCTAAACTTTTCACAGAGGATTTGTATGCTTAACCATGCCAATCAAGGACTCTTTAGAACTCTGAAAACTTGCCAATAATTCTTATGAATCCAGTTAAAAAGAAGAATTCACTCACAGAATTTTACTTTGCTGCTGTGCATAGGTTAGTTATGAGGAAGGGCCAACCAAATCCATAACACCTAAGAACAACTCAGTTTAAAAAAAAATAGCATGAACAATTTGAATATGCCTGTCACAAAATAGCACCACTCCATAACCAACCAAAGTGAAAATATTAATTACATTTAGCAGAATGGCAAAAATTTCAAGGATGTGGAACAACTGATAAACTTACATTTCTGGGACGAAATGAAATACAAAATGAAAAATAATATGGGGAAACTACTATGAACATTTATACACATTTATCATTCTACTCAGAAGTATAATCCAAATTATATACATGTCTTATTTGCTGATAGGCATCCGGGCAGATATTAAAAGTAGCTCTGTTTGTTAAAGCACTTTAGTTAAAGTATGAAACAATCCAAAAATCTATCAAAAGTAGAATATATAGCAAATCGTTCTATATATACAGCATGGAATGTACTTTGTTGTTGTTATGTGCCATCTAGTCACTTGCAACTCATAGCTACCCTATGCACAGTGGTTCTGAAGTCTGCCCTGTCCTGAGCCAGTCTCACTGATTCCAACATACTAACTCTTATTGCCCCAGTTACTGTATCGATCCATTTCATCTGGGGTCTTCTTCTCCTACACTGTCCCTCCAACTTTCCAAGCATGATGCCCTTCTCCAAGGACTGGTCCCTCCTGACCATGCGCCCAAAATATGTGGGATGGAGCTTCAAAATCTTAGACTCCAAAGACAGAGTTGGTTTCCCTCTCTCCAAAACAAATCTATTTGTTTTCTTGGTGGTCCATGGTATGTTCAAGACTCTTCTCCAGCACCACAACTTAAAGGAATCTATTCTTCTTCTGTCATCCTTAGTCATTGAGTCATTGTCCAGCTCTCTGATGAATAGCAAGTAATTGTGAAGTCCATGGCCTGGATTAGGCAGACCTTAGTCTCTAGACTGAGTTGTTTTTCATTACTCTGGAAAGATCCCTGACAACAGATTTTCCCAGTGCAATTCCTCTTTTGATTACCTGTCTGCTGGTGCCAAGAATGTTATGGAGCCGAGAAAGCTGCAATTGTTAACAACCTCAGTCTTTTCTCCATCTAGCATGGTGCTACCAATTGGCATAATGGTGAGAATCTTTGTCTTTTTGATGTTGAGCTTCAATCCATATTGAAGACTACATTCCTTGACCTTCTGCAGCAAGTGCTTCAGATCTTCCTCAGTTTCAGCAAGCAAGATTGTGTCATCTGCATGAAGTAGGTTTCTGAGGAGTCTTCCTCCAATCCTGTTTCTACATTCTCTTCATAAAACACTGTGTTGGTGGTTTAGTGGTAAGAAGCTGCACTGCAATTCTGAAGGTTGGTGGTTCGGATCCACCAGTTGCTCTGCAGGAGAGGATGGGCAATCTCTCTTGCAATTAAGTGTCTCTGAAAACCTGCTGATGGCTCACCTATGGGTTAGTTCCATTTCTGACTCTAGTACAGAATGTACGTAGTATGAAATTTATAATAAAAAGCCCAAATTCATTACTATAGTTAATTATGAATTATAATGACTCTTAAGCAGATTTCTGACTATAAATATTTACAGGAGGAAATTATTAATCTTTTTTTCTCTCAAAGCAGTTGGTGGATTTGGGCTGATATTTC